CGGCTTACTTCAGAATGAAGATGCATTGGCTACATGCTACACAATTTGCATGACTTTGCATATAGTAATAGGCAAAATGGGTGTTGGTAGAGAGCATCCACTCTGCGAATCAGGGGACGCCATACCTTTTGTAGGCAACGTTACGGGAAGAAAAAGTCATGAGGTTTGTATGAATGCACAATTTTGGCAAGTCCGGAAGACTTAACTTCATGTATCTGCAACCGATAAGACGTTTCGTGATTTGTGTGACTCTACAGGAACATCGTATAGCTTACTATAAAGCTTCGTAGGTTAGTGATTGAGTGGGACCTGCCACGCCGTGCAGGCCAGCAGACATTGGGGGATTGCGTGAATTTAGGTGGCCACAGTATCGCAGTGTTTGAGAACCTGTGCTACAGTTGATGCAGTTAGTGACCCACAAGCTGCTTCTCCAAAGTTTCTGAAAATTCTTCATTCTCAAGGCTAGACACGCCTTTTTACAAAATGTTCTCAGTCTACCCACTAAATATTGCCATTCGGGGAATTCATTGGCCATTTCGCCCTAGCTCTGTCTCTGTTTGCTGCCGATTTCATAGGGATTCTAGCGCTGATACAATTAGCTGACTGATTGTCGTGGAAGTGGTGGGGTGAGGATCTCAGATATCGTATGATATGGGCCCTCTTGGGCCCATTGTACTGGCTCCAGTTAAAGTTAAAAAGATAAAGTTGTCCCTGCGCTTAACTATTTAAGCACTACACCATGAAGGTGTATGGAGGAGTGGATGTATAGATCCATATTTTCTTGGCCTCGGCACTAGCTGGAGGTGAATGATGAGCTTCACGTCCCGGCCGGTTTATCCCCGGGGAAAGATCTCTCAGTACCCATTTGATAGGAGGTTGGGTGGATCCCATAGCCGGTCTGGACGACGTGGAGAAAAGAAAATTCTTGATCCTACTGGGACTCGAAATCCGACCCCTCGGTTGACCAGCCCGTAGCCAGTCGCTGTTCCGACTGAGCTATCCCGGCTCATACTGGTTCCAGTTGCTGATGATAATAGATGAGTTTGGAAGAAGTGGTTGTCCGAGACAGGGAGACTGAAGTGTTGTGAGAAATACTGCCCCAGTGTGCCATTTGACCTTACCTAGGATCAAACTGGGTTGTTGCAGTGACTAACCACCTGAGTTATGACCCAGCATCAGAGTTTTAAATTTGGGCTGAGCTATATATCAATTGAGAGATGGAATCTCAGTGAGATGGAACTATTTAGTGTAGATCAGACATAAAGCGATAATGATGAATATGCTGAGTCATTTATCAAATATAAGCATCTTTCATTTCCATGTCAGGTGGGGTCGTTTGTAAACATAGCATGACGTGTCCTCAGGTTGCGGATGGAGGAGACGGCCTCCAGATATGGAGGGTGGCTGCGAATATATTTAACAGACAGTAGCGGACAGGCGACAAACCGTGGTCCTCCATCTTGGGGACCGTAAAAAATAAGGTAGTTTCTAAATGTCACAAAGGGCCTCGGACCTGGACATATTATAGGGACCACTGTAGGGCTCTTGTGAACAAGGTAATGAACTTTCGGTTTCCATAACCGCTGTGAAATTTTTGAATAACTGCACAACTGGCGGCTTCTTTAAGAAGGGCTCAACTCCATGAAGTCAGTCAGTAGCTCTACAGCTATTTTAAGATCTCTCGTACCAGCGTTCAGCTCTGTCCGCCTGGAAACAACACTGCCCGACAGTCACGTGTTTACCAGGCTCATTGTTCAGTGCTTGGTTTGCTACTCATATGACCATTCTTTCCGACGATAGACGCAATGTATTCTAGATGCTACATGGCCTGACTGATGTAGGCTTGGGGTTGCACGTTTCGACGTTAGATTTGAAAGATCTGACAGCAGCGCTATGTATCTTCCTCTGGAACTAGGGTTTGCTACATCACACGCAAGCGGAACCATACACTCTAGCGTTTTTATTTCGGAATTCTTGGCCTAAAATAGCAAATTATCACCCTCCGGAGTCGGGTCACAAAGACATAACAGTTCACAGTTGACCCTTCTTGAATTCAGTCATGACGAAATGAACGAATTCTGGCTCTCCAGCAATCGGATTCTAACAAGCTTGACGTTATGTTTCGCTGCTTTCACATGGAGAGGTAGCAGTCACCTTACAGATGTGAAACAAAGAGCCGTAAACCTGACCCGTTTCTAGACAACAGCCGTGAAATTAGCAACTGTACTACGGCCCGTAAATAGCAGCAGAGGAAAGGTGTTTTCTGTACGGTCCGTGCCGAGATGTTATAAGCAGGACATTGTAGTGAGTGAAATAGAGAACTGCTGCGGTACAGTCGTTGTGAGCTGAGGCCGGACATAGTTTGGGAACCTAGAGGAAGGAGAACGTCCGCCGATGAAAGCCGCTACCGGGCAACGGCTAGTAAAGAGGTGAATGTGGACATTAGTATGTGTATATATGCGTAATAGCGAACTATAAAGTGTAGTCACGCGCTGTGTTAAAAGTCTAATAAACCAGATCATCAATCCAAAAACTCATCTACAGTCGCATTCCATACACATGACCATATGTTAGCAAGTGGCTGCGCCATAGCTCAAGCGGTTAGTCGCTGGTTTCCCACTTCGGTGGCCTGGGTTCGATCCCGGGTCTGATCAAGTGGGATTTGAGGTGGACAAAGTGGCGCTGGGGCATGTTTTCTCCGAGTACTTCGGTTTCCCCTGCCAATCTTCATTCCACCAATTGATCCACAGTCACCCTCACCTATTGTCTGGGGATGGTACAATAGGCCAGAAGTGGCCGCAGTAGAAGGGATTTAGACCCACCCCACTAGCAATAAAAGAAATATGTACATAGTCGGTAGGACTCCTTGGACGTGGGATCAGTCTGTCGCATGGCCGCTACCTCCACACAGAACAGCACAAACACAGAATAAACACACACAGACATCCATGTCTNAGGTAATAACACCGTTGAATTTATATTATTGTTCAATAGGTGTCTTCCACGAACTTTTCAACTTAATGAGGTTGGATATTTTTAACTCAACGACGCTTTACACGTATACAGAAATGATTATATAAAAGAATTGCATGTCCCATGTAAGTGCCGATCTTGATAGCCGTAATAATTTCCCGGTAAAATTTCAAAGGGCTGTATCCACGTCTTACTTAGAATCAGTTTTATGTATGTTTTCTTGAGTTCGCCTAAGACGTAGTTACCCTCAGTACTGACAAATAACGCTAATCTTGAAACGGCCTGGACGCATTACTGAATAACACATTCACATGTTTCACATTTTTACATGGTCTGTATTCACAAAAGCCTCTGAATGTCTGTCTCACAGAGAACCTGGATCTCGGAGAAAATGTCGAAATGAAGTAGTAACCTACATTAATTGTTGGCATTTCCGTTGTTGTTCTCCTCCACTGTATTGTCTCCGTAAACCTTTAGCAATTGTCGATGGATGTCAATGGGTACAATTTGTTCGGCAGTGAGAAATTCAATAACACATCTCTGTTTCATACGCACTTCTATGTCAGACACCATATCAGTAGGCTGCTCTGCTGTCGCTATCTGTCTCACGACAACCAAACTAACAGTACATTGGCGGGAAAGTTCAACCTTTACTACACCACCACCAACATCCATCTCAGNAAAAAAAAAAAATAGGAGGCATTATTTACGGAACGCCCTTCGTATATGCAATTGCTTGTGTACTTCATGAATTATTAGTCGCTTAATTAGTTTCAACGCTTGTACCTGCAGGCACAGGAAAGGCGCAGTGTTCGCTTCGATACTCGCCTTCTTTCTGTCCCTTCTTCTTTCCTTTTTATTTCTTTATTTCCATTTTATTTATATTTCATTTCTTCCTTCTGTTCCTTCCATCTTTTCCTTTTTAGTGTTTTTCTGTCTTTTTCTTTCATTCGAGCATTCTCTTTTCTTTCTTTCTTTCCCACTTCCCTTATCTTTCTTTTCCCCCCTTTCTCTCTCCTTTTCTTTTGTTCCTTTTCCTTTTTTTCCCCTTTCTCTTTTTCTCTCGGCCTTTTCCCATTATTCTTCACTCCTCCCTTCATTATTTCTGTCTTTCCGTGTAATTTTCTCTTTCTTTCTTACTTTTCTTTTCCATTCTCTCTTGAGTCCTTGCCTACTTAGAACTCTCTTGCATTGAGCCACAAAGGTCTGACCTCTCCGAGAGTGCGCTCTCTCTTGTTTACATGTCCTCTGTGTTTGTATGTGAGTCCCTTACCTGCCATCCTGACGTCATGAGGCAGCATGCGGAAACGTCCGCAGTACACTATGTGCCACGACGAGCACTCTCGTGGCTTACTTATCTGCACGAAGGCGATAGAAGTTGTTCTTGCGCTGTTATCGCACTGAAGCTGATCAAAGAATTCCCTCCCTTTATAAGAAGGTAAAGTCATTAGCGTGTAAACTTTGAGGCTCTCACAGTGTAAGGTCTGAAAAATTCCTTCTTCTGGTATAAAACGCCATGTCACCCGTTGAAAGTCAAATAGACGTTTTGTTGGAAGCATGTCGCCTCCGAAACGTCAGTTGACAACAAAGTCTACGGTGTTATATGCCAGAAGATAGACGTCTTCACTATTTATTTGGTCAGTCTGATGATCAGGACTTTGCCCATTGTTTAGTATTGTGAGAAAATAGCATTGCCTTGCCGTTCCATCGACAGAATGCTTCAGAACATTTATTTGTTTGGTACTGTAACACCCATTAAGAATTCAATGGAAGTCTTGTCGTTAATTGTTTATTTTTTTGTACTATTAACCTCCCTGCTTTCTTCCGTATTCCTTTCCAGGACTATATTTATGGAATGATGCGTCGAGTCCGAAGTTTGACGCCATCTCTCAAGCATAACGCACACACAGTCAATTGCAAACGGTCCCGTGTACATCACACATCCACATTAAAACATTATCAGTAACCACAGAACAGACACCAGATACTAAAGAAAAGATTGCTCACATAAATTACTTGTTTAAAAGTGGCCAGTGTGGGGATCGAACCCACGACCCTCTCGTTATCAGCACGACGCTTTAATCACCTGAGCTAACGGGCCCCTCAGAGTAGGCGGTATAGCGACTGGCTACGGACTGGACGAGTGAGAGTTTGGAGTTCAAGTCCCGGTAGGTTCAAGAATTTACTCTTCTCCAAATCATCAAGATCGGCTCTGGAACCCACCCAGCCTCCTATCCAATGGGTACCGGGGACTCTTTCCCCGGAGGGTAAAGCGGCCTGAGTGTTAAGCTGATCACTCACCTCCAGCTAGTGCCAAGGTAAAAAAAAATATGTATCTGTACACGCACTCCTCCATACGGCTTCATGGCATAGTGCTTAATTAGCTGAGCACAGGGACAACTTTGCCTTTACATAATTTACTTATTTCATGTAACAAGTTAACTCTCTACAGTTCATTGCTATGGCAATCAGAAAATTTATAATAGCACAGCCTTCGTCCATCGCTACATGTATACGTATTATATAGCCGGGTTTACAAGTTCCCATGAACGCAGCTAATGCAGAAGGCCACAAGTGATAAGCAATATCTCTTTCTCTGAAGACTGGTGACACTTTCGCATGGATATGTAACGTGCATTATACTACAAATACAGGGTGTTTCACGACTTTAGGGCATAACTGCAGGAGGTGATTTCCTAGGTCTTTATGATCAAAAAAGTTCATACAAACATGTGTCCGATTTTGGACGGTTACAGAGTTAAGACCGTTTTTTCATTCCCGTACACGCCCTTGTGTGAACCGCGTGTCAGCTGGCGGGTCGCTATTTTTAGCCAGCTACAGACAGAGCGTTCTCATTATCTCGACACTTGAGAGGTACCTAAGGTGGAGTGGGTTGGTATGTCCGGCGCGGTTCACAACCGAGCGGCAGCCTGTGTTGCGGCCGGCGGTGACATTTTCGAAAATCAGCTTTAAGCACCAACCAATTCAAATTAAATGATTTCACGAAGTTAACTTTACATTCATACTTTAAATGTATCATGTATTATGCTGGTTTGCAGGTCACGGTAGCCGAGCGGTCTAAGGCATGCACTGTCTTCGCTCGCTCAGAAGCCAGGATCATGGGTTCGNTAAAATATGCTGGTTTATTATTTTGTTCCGTTTATTGTCAGTAATCATTACCTTCTATTCTGACTTTAAAATGGTCATAACTCAGTAACCGTCCAAAATCGGACACATGTTTATATGAACTTTTTTGATCACAAAGACCTAGGAAATCACCTCCTGCAGTTGTGCCCTAAAGTCGTGAAACATCCTGTATACTGTAAAGATGGCGGTCTGCGACTGTTTGCCTGTGCTGTTCGTATGATATGGAATTACATATCAGCCTCGGCGTATCATTCGATAAATGTAGAACTGGAAAGGAATATAGGAGAATGTAAAGAATAAGAATTGGTGGAAGTAGAGGTCTGCCAGTGGGCTGAAAACGGAGGAAGAAGAGGAATGGGCTAGGTATGAGGAAAACAAGACACGGCGGCACATTGTGGCAGCTACAAGCTCGGTGCCACCTCATCACGAATTTCTGTGAGTTCAAAAACTCGATTGCCGAAGCATAGGACTTCAGACGTCAAAATTTCAATTCCTTAATTACAACAGTACTACATGCCAGTCTTACTGACTTCTGCAAAGAGCTCCACACTATGCTATTAAAATTTTGTATGGTAAAATATCTGTACAAATATGCTATTTTCGTTAAGGCCATTTTGTTTCTGTAGAACTAAAATAAGATGGCGGCCACGTGAAGACTGCATTTAATCAATATTAGAGTTAATTTTACCGTCTACACAACACGCTCTTATTATTACTATCACACTACATATTTCGACCTCAAGAGGTCATCCTCAGGTGTACGAACACAGTTGTATAATCACACGCAATCACATTCGTTTTTTCCACTCATTCGACTCTGTATCCTATCCAGGTCCACGTTCAATAATATATTAGGTTCCTCCTACAAAAATACAAGTTAAAATACCATTACAAATGTTAAGAGTTAAGATTTAAAACTTAAAATTTAAAATTTCGTGAATTGAAGTTTCATGCATGTCATTGGTATACTTTCACTTTCACTCGCTTTTCAGTCTCTTCCTACTTACGCTCATCACTGGGTACAGTTCACTTTAACTAGTTTAACTATTATCATTGGTTAAAAGTTCATGCATTAATGTTCAACTTTATTATATTGGTGCACTTTCATTTTTTGGAGGTCTCGCTGTTCTTGTGTGTCCTCTGATGCTGCTGGATCTGTTTACAATCCTTGTCGTTATCGGTCGTGAAGTAGCCTTCACGACCGATAACGACAAGGATCTTCTATCCTGAAGATTTCTCAAAAAGCTTCTATCTCTCTACCAAACTGCACTGCGTCATAAACAGGAATGCCGTAAGCTAGAGTACTTATATGTCTGTCTCCCTGTCCAGTGTGTGGACTTGAAATTTGTGCTGTCACACGTGATTGAAAAGTATGCGTGTCTCAGTGCAGTCTACATACAGGGCGTTTGATTTAAGAGTGAAGCCAATTCCGTAAGCTGTTCATGCAAAGAAGACAATAACTGCGTTGCTACGGGAGACGCGCCGCAGCAAAGTACAGAACCCAGTCCACTCTTAAATCTGACGGGTCTCTTGTGTTTCGCGTAACAGTTTGTCGTGCACAGACTGAAACTTGAATTTGAAAATGTCGAGCTGAGGCCAATAAATGTCGTGCAGTAGGTGTGTAAGCCGGGATAGCTCCGTCAGTATACTGGTTGACTGCGTGATGGACGACTGGGGTTCGATCCCAGATAGTAAGGGGGATTTTCTTCGCGTAAGCATATTCATACCGGCTTTGGGGCTGAGCCAACCTCCAAATACCGCATTACGAGGTTTATTTCCTCAGGGATGAAGTGTTGTGACCGATATGCTAGCCTCCATTTAATGCCAAGGTCTGAAATGCGCTGAATTCTAGATTCACGTTTCCCGTTTGCCTTTACGGCCAGCTGATTCAGTACAGACAAAATGTGACCTTCGCGTGGCATTCTTTTGCTTTACGCGCTGGACCTGTAGGCTGTGTCTGTCATCTGTTCACCTTCTCCTGGTCCTACCGATCGTTATCCTCCTTTCTGTTTATTAGCCTACTTTCCCTATTAAAAAAAAATAAAAGTAGGCTTATGCACACACCATGCTGTCTGTTGTCTGTTTCCACCCCCCACCAACTCTTCAATGCCTGAACCAATCATTATGAAACTTGGTATGTACATCATGACACCTGAGCCCATCTCAACGATGTACTACATAAATCCCTCCCATTAGTCCGTGTGTATGTGTATCCCTATATCGTTGCTAGGTAACGACTGGGTAAAAACGTTGCCGCAGCAACGAATATATACGCAACAATTTAACTGTTGGACGAGTTGTTTTCTGTGCGGTCCGTATCGTATCAAAAGAAAGTAGGCGATTACTTCCCAGAACTTCATGTTTCTTTGAAGCTACAAGGCCCGATTCTTCGAAAGCCTGTGGTACCAACACAAATTACACGCGAATTACACTTTGCATGACCTGCCATGTTGGTACAGGCCGTGCCGTAGCTCAGGAGATTAGTCGCTACTTCCCGCAGTTGCTGCCCGGGTTCGAGCTCAGGTCAGGTCATATGGGAGGGATTTGTGGTGGACAAAGTGGCACTTGGGCCAGTTTTCTCAGAGTACTTTGGTTTCCCCTGCCAATTCTCCACCGACTGCTCCACAGTCATCATCATCTATCATCCGGGACTGGAGTATACGATAATTAGTGGCTGACGCACCAGGGCGACACAGTCTCACCCCACCCCAAAAAACTAAAAAATATACAATGTTGATATAGCGTTAACACTGTGGACTTGTATTTGGGAGATGCTCGGCTCAAATCTCGGCCGAGAAACCGGCCATCCTGACTGAGGTATTTCGCGGGTTTTCTCAGATCTTCCTGTAAAATGCCAGAATAATACTTCCATTAGGCCTAGGCCTCTTTCTTCAAAATCCTTTGTAGTTTATTATTCGCCGGTCATCCTCCCATTCGGCACTATACAGTCCAGAGAACAAAATAAGCCGTAGGAAATATGAAAGACCTACTTAGTATGAATTGTTATCACGCAGGTGGAAACGCCCTGGCCAAGGAATTGTTTGGTCCGCGCGCCAGTTTCGCAATCAGCATCTCACCTTGAGCACATCACCTTGACCACACCTTGCACTGATCACAAGAGAACCGTGTGTTACAGCAGACAGCTCGACCGGATTCATTGCAGTGACGTAGTTACAGGAGGAAACAAAGAGTGCGAGGCAAGATCTGTGAAAACCGCGATTCTAAGAAAGACGACTGTTAGTTTGGACATTGCCTATAGTCAAAATGGCGGTCTGGAAACTGGATCTGGTTCCGTCGTAGGCGGCGAAAAGGGAACGGTTTCTATTCAGCTGCGCCAGTTAGAAACAGCCAGTCTCGATCGCTGGACTCCAGTGAGCAGTCAGAGCGGAAACTGCGCATGCCTTATAAAAGATGAGAGAGGCTCAATTTTCGTAATTCCGTGTCAAAATAGAAAACCCAAACTCAGTGGACAACGTCGCAAATGATAGGCCTACTGGTCGAACTCCTTGTAATATGTCATCAGAAGCATTCATACTAAAGGTGCAAAACATACAGCACGACAAGACTCATTTGAGAACTCTCTATTTAATATTGTTTCATGATGGGATATGACTGTAGACGGAGTTTTGATTGGTGACTGGATTTATTGACCACGTACACACAAAATGCAATCGCTAGTCTCCACACTCTTTACAAGTCATTAAAGCACACGGTATGTCCTCTCAGTCTGCTTTCACTAATCGTTTCCTGGTAACGGATTGGAACAATGGAGATTCTTCAGCGTCTGTGCTCACGTCGTTGCCCGCTGGCTAATACAACTGACAACTTTGCGACTGGCGGTTTACAGCCAATCAGTTCGTCTTGGCGCCAACCCCCTTGAGACGCATGGCCGGTGTATTTTTCAACTGAACACCTGCTATTATAGTCCTCATGTATCATCGTGTCTGATGAGAGTCCATCGTGTCTTGGCGTCCTACCTACGAGTATAACATCTCGGCACGGACCGCGTAGAAAACATTTCCAACATTTGCTGTATTGTTGCATGTAGATTCGTTGCCGCAGGAACATGTCTGTTTGTAAAGGCGTTACTCAGTAACGGCTAAGTATATTCGCTTATTTAAAATCTGTTGCCCGGCAGCGGGTGTCGTTTCTTTGTTATCTTTGCGGTCGTCACCTAGCAACGGCCCTCTACGTGCTACAGAGAGACGCTACAGCAATGTCTAGTACAACGGGTGCTACCTGTCTTTCGCGTGCCCCTTGCAACGTTGCAGCCGTGAGATCCGTTGATAAATGAAACTGGTAGAAACAGTGGAAGCTTCTGCCAAATACGTATGGTGGTAATGTTACTTTTCATCAAACTGTTTTTATTATGTTTTTGCGTCCGTCCCTTGAGACAAATGCTAGGACGGTACCTCGATTAGACCGCAACCGCTTACTTGCAGATGCTGCCGTACGATGCCATCCAGTCTCAAACTGACAGTGTCGCTAAGTAACCAGCTTAATGTCTGTTGCGTTGCTGCTTCATCCCTCCTCAAACCATGACGTATGCATACATCTTTGTCCTAGACTTAACTAAGTGAAGTAAGGTTAATTCCCTTCAAATGAGGTCCTTCAGCGCGCCCCCAGTTGTTCCATTGTTCCTGCCAGTGGTGGAAGCAACTCTCAGTGGCAGCACCTCTGTTGCATTGTGTTCGCTTGAGTCCACATCAGATCTTCTGCTTCTGAAGAGCCTTTTGAAATTTAAGAATTGAAAAGAGTAGTGATCCATAGCTGGTGACTAGGGATCTCGAAAATATACATGTATTTAGCTACAAATTTCTACACAAGTTGGGCTGCATGAACAGATATACTGAATTTGCTGCCTATGCGATTTTCGTATTTGTGGCAGCTTGTGACGCATTGCATCGTGGAGATATCTCAGGACTTATATATAGAAATTTTGGTGAGGCCTGCTTCTGCCCAATAAGACAACAATACAGAATGTCCGGATGAAAGGTATCCAAAATAAAATAATTATATCTCAGAAAGCTTTTATTATACATATTTATGGGTTACACCACTACAGATGGAAACTATCAAAGTTTTTCCTGAGTATATAACTTTTTCAATAAATTTCAACGTGGGCTCCCTTGGTGGCACGACGAATATCCAGACGAACCAGCATGTTTGGTGTTACCATTGCCACAGCGTCCCTTATGCGGGCTTTCAGGTGTTCCAGGTCGTTGATCTTAACCTGGTAGACAATGTTCTTCACATAAACCCACAAGAAAAATTCGGTGGGGTTAAAACTGGCGACCTAGGTGATCCACTTTTAGCGCATAAGCCGGGCATGGGGGGGGGGGGAACACAGACAGGGTTTTCCTTTCCGATGATATAAACCGGATACGTGTATGACAATTATTTTCCGAGATATGAATGTTTTATTTTGGATACCTTTCATCGGGACATCCTATATTTATGTCATTCGTTAGTTTGCATAAATCGTTTTGGTCCGCGTTGCGTTGTAAACGGTACACTCTCTACTGCTCAACGCTACACAGCATAGCCAAGTGAAAAGCGTTAAGTAACCCAGACCTCCACCAAACCAAAGCCATTGAGGAATGCGAAATTACGAAAACATTGCGTTACTGTTGCTCTTCACTGCTTCGTTTTGCTTTTTCTGTGCATTAAAACAACGGGATGTGTTTGATTGCAGGGAAGTTTCTTTCTGCTGGGTTTGATGCTACTTCTGGGTGTTGCGTGTACCGTCCACGGATCCGTGAGACCTGCATCAGTTGCGGAGATCCGTGAGACCCTGGTCTGGGGACCAGAGAGGGACATTCGTAAAGAAATCGAAGACGGGATCCTTCTGCCTCCACTGCCACCGGAAGCCAAAGTAAGGAAGGAAGTGTGGGGAAAATCCATGAACTTTATTCAACCTATCACAAAGCCTCTTTCCGCAGTTCAGCTGTTTCACACTCCCCTGAACAGACTGAAGCCTGATTTCGACATTACGCTTGAAAACAAAGGAGATGTTGCACCGATGTCATACGTCGATTCTTCACAGTTTCGAAGGAGCAGTTCTAAAGCGGAAAGCCCGCCGTTTGAAACAGTCCCAGCAACAAAAAAGTTCGCAGGAAAATCTACTGTGTTGGCTGTACCCAAAACGCAAATTAATAAAACGTCGAAACTGGAGACGCTTACAGAAAACAGAAAGAAGTACGAGCTGGACCAGAGGACGACAACGGAAGACGCGCTTGGGAAGAATGAAGATGGGAGGCCCAGGGCAGCGCCCCCAGTCTGGAGCCACGCCTTGTTGTCTGACGAGCTGTCCGACCCCTTTAGTCGACTGCCTTCGAACGAAGAGTATGACAGAAGCAGCCGGTATACGCACTCCATACTGTATGGCTTCAATGCGGAATTCTGAATCTCAATGTAAATGTCTGTATATTTTGTAATAACAATTGTTTTATGATGCTTTTTTTAATTTGCTTTGAAAGTTTTTGTACTTGCCTTATGTAACTGGCATTTGTAGAAAAACTCCTTTAGTTAATAGGTTCTGTTTCCATGGTGAGGTACTGTACTTTGTGAGATCTGAGTTTCTCACAGCAACGAATATGAAGATTACCGTCTTCTGCAATGTGACGCCGTGCTGTCTGGTACAAATATGCCAATGTCTCGGAGGAACCTGCTTCCTCTATGTTTAAGATATGAGACCTCTACCCTTAGGACATTGGCAGCAGTTTTTACTTTTCTACCAGACTATACAGCGTCAAATCCCTGTAGACAATAATAATCGTAGCATGGACCAGCTATCTTCTGTTGTTTAAAAGTCATGAACATTTAACCTTAACCGTCGAAACACTCTTCTTTCATTTGTCTTTCCAACCTCCAACTACAATGGGCTAAGGAGTACCAATATTCCGAAACAAAATTTCTCATATGCGGCTTGCGAAATGTTAAGTACGCTTACTCAGCTGTTTGCATGTATGATGACGATCAGTGGGGGGGGGGTTGTGAATTGTGAATTGTTGGGAAATGTATAGAAAGTCGTGGACCAGTTCTTCCAGAAAGTTCCTGGGGGAACTGAAGAACTCACGAACGCAAGTAGGCGCCGACGTCAGACCGCAGCCAGAGGGATACACGTGATCTTCACATAAGGCGTTCTTTTTCTTTATAAAGAACGTCTAAATATTATATATGGTTGCGAAGAAATTTACAATTTACACAACAAGGTTCTTCATAAACTGTACTCCTAACTAAATACTTACAGAGTACTAAATTGAATGAAAATGAGATGGGAGGGCTAATTTCCTGCAGAAATTTAGTTAGAAACCTTGAAAGGAGAGATCTAGGCTGCAAAGATCGTATATAGTAAGAGGTCTTGATGTGAGATGAATTTAATTGGTGTATGACAGAGTCCAGTGGCGGTTTCTTGTGAACGCTTTATTGAACGTTGGAATTCCATAACAGGCAAGGAATTTCTTGCCCAGTTCCCTCCTCAAGAAGGACACTGGCCCTTACACTTTTATATAATTATAAAGATCCTTGTGTATGACACGTCTTCCTGGACTCTTTTATGTTGTTTGCAGATATAAGTAAGGTAAAGTTGTCCCATACCGGTCACGGTAGCCGAGCGGTCTAAGGCATGCACCATTGTCTTCGCTCGCTCGGAAGCCGGGATCGTGGGTTCGAATCCCACTCAAGGCATGGATGTTTGTGTACAGGTAGAGGCCTTGTGACGAGCTGATCACCCGCCCAAGGAGTCCTACCGAATGTGTAAGAACTAGAAAAACCGAAGTGAACGGAGAAGTTCATGGAGGTAGATCTAGGCCCACTAGGGCTGTAGTGCCAAGGAAAAAAAAAATAGTTGTCCCATGTGCTTGATTAGTTAAGCATCATGCAATCAAGACATACGGAGGAGTTGAGGTACGAGTATAGCTCCACCGTTCTTGACCCCGGCTCTAGTTGGAGGTAAGTAGTCAGCTTCACGCCCCTGCCGCTTTACCTTCTGGGAAAGAACCCCCGGTACCTATTGGATGGGCCCCATAGCCGGTCTGCACCCTGTGGAAAAGGGAAGAATTTTGCATTGCCAGGAGTCGAGCCCGGGCTCTCCATCCCGTAGTTCATCGCTGTACTGACTGAGCTATCCCGAGTCCTGTTTGCGGATATAACTTCAGAATATTTCTAATAAACTCGGTTACGGAGGTGTACGTAATTTAAAAGTCTTCTTTCATATATGAATTCAATATTACATTATAATAATTACGTACTTATTTTAACCTTTTGTAGCTTATGACTTCCGTTTGTAACTAGTCTCAGGCACATCTCTGATGTTAGCGCTCTACTTCTCTTGGTGCCTTATGGGCAATGTCTTGGTGAAAGCGCTGTTCATCTTCGTTAATAACTATACCGAGACTGTTTTTAAATGCTGAGTTGTCCGTGAAAGACTCTACTATCTTGGAACGAAATTAGATCGACAACAAACGATCGCAACGATTCTTAAATTTGAACTTGTGTTGGATCATCGATAGAAGGGTTTAGTGTCACGAGGAGCGTGGGTATCTACGTGACAACAGTGGACAATGCAGCCAATTGGCCAATAAACCGGGAAAACTGACGAAAGTAGCCAAAGCAATGGGGTTCCTGGTGTTGCAGGTGGCCTTTATAAGCCAGTATTCTGCTAGGACCGCTCAATATTTGAACATTAGCTATGTGGTCTCTCTGCCCAGAGATCAGCACAAGGGCAGGGTAGGTAAGTCATCTGTTCTGCTAGCTCTCACAGTTGGTTCAGAATGTTCGTACAGAAACTGAATGGTAAGAACCAGGGCTGTGAGTGGGCGTAGACCCCGGTAGACGCCGTCTGCTCTATTTTGAGGAAGTTTTTTTCCAGTGCCTTGGGACGTCATAACTACCGTTCCCAACAACGATACGTCTAGGAGTAAACTCACAAGACTATATTGTAACAAATCCCTTATGTGTGGGTCTTCTTCCTGGGCTGTTGTACTGATCTGGAACGTTTACCTAGTTCTGAAAAGTCATTTCCACTTTTATCTTCAGAGTATGCATTTTAGAAACAAGGGGTTGGCGTAACTTGCAGGTGGTGAACACATGACACTACCTATACCTGCGTAAGAGTGGCCGCCGTTTCTGTGCCTTTTATACAAAGTACATAATCAAGAGCTGGAGTTTTGGGGTCAAGTGGTGCGGCTTGCATATGCTCCTGACATATCATAGTTCTGTCGTTTATACTCATATGCCTGCAGGGTAACTGAGCGGCTTGAAGTTTCCCGTGTTTCTCCTATTTCACCCAGCGAAATTCCGGATCAGTGCCTTCAAGTAAAATGCTACAGCCTCTCACGAAATCACCAATCATGATCATTAAGTTAATTCGGCAACATAGCAGTCCCTTGTGGTCTGGGAAAGTCCCTGGATAGTTACTAAAAATAGACCACTGCCGTTTCTTGCCAAATTCCTCAGATTTTTAATTCATGACCGAACGTCGGGTATAATAAGTGATTAAGTAGCCCCGCTTCAGTTTAGTCAGGTAGGTTAACGGGTTAGAATCTTCACCAGGGAACCTCATATCCTGACTGAGGTTTGTCCTAATATGCATTCGTTCACTGAACATAATGGCGAGTTCATGTATATTTGTCAGAATGTTTTACATCAGGAACTACTTGTCGAATTTAGTCTTGGTATAGAAGGTATTGCGCAAATTTGGATTTGGTAATGGGATACTGGTCAATAAGCAGATCCTACTGTATAAGAATTCCACATTAAACTCTATTAACATTCTTTATAAAGCTTTGTCCACATGACATAAAATATGGATCTCACTAAGACATAAAATTTTCTTTTAAAATTTGTTCTGACATGATGAATATTTAACGAAATTCCTGCGGTTCGATTGGCTGTGGCACAGGAAATTTTTATTTGGAGTAAATGAACTTGAAGATGAATGAAATTTAATTTAGAACAAAGAATGTGGTTTAATTAAATTAGTAGTACAATATTGGAGTACGTTTTTCTTTGCGTTCGTTTGACGTTTCTGTTCAACTCCTCGCCCACTTCGAGCATGTGGCGCTGTATGTAAACCTAACGGCCATAACTGATCTCGTGACAGTCACGTGCTACAGTGCCAAGTCTGCTGTGCATGTGTGTACGTATTATCTGTCAGGTGTATGTGAGGTGATGTGTATTGATAAGAACAAGATCATTCGTTTGGTCGTTAAGGTCTGAATGTATTACATTTTCATTCGTATAACAGACACTGTCTTCCTAGAATTCAGAAGAGGTAAATTAATTTTTATGTAGTGTTCGTTAGGTATCAACATGGAGTGAGTATTACTGATATTTCCCGAACTACTTCCCGTTTTATTATGAACGCTAACGGTTCAGTAAAGGGACATAAGTAAGCTTAAAACAAATACATGTATTTCTGATGTTTAAAATCTCGTGGTGAGCCGGTATAGTGACTGGCTACGGGCTGGAAGACCGAGGGGTCGGAGTTAAGAGTCCCGGTGGGGGCAAGAATTTTTCCTATACATCCACTTCCCCATACGTCTTCATAGCACAGGGACAACTTTACCTTTATAAAATCTCGTGATCTCAAAACGTGACTTAACTCTAAATTCCCTCTCCCTCAGCAATATTGGGGCGGATATAACTTTTCTGGGAGGGGAGTGGGGGCAGACAGAAAAATTACTTACACAATTACATTCAAGCTGTTTAAGGGTATTTTTACCGATTACCATGAGTATCAAGGAAAAGATTTTATAATGTACTTTCATTTGTTGTTAGTATTCGGTATACTCCTTTAATTTAGATTGTTTTCCAAAAATCCAAGGCGGAGGAGGGGGTAGCGCCGCCCTCCCCGCGCACGGCACCCGTGCTTCAAGTCCTGTTAGAAGAAATGACTGTTGAAGCTACCGTTTACATATAGCTTTTCTGCAGATGCTGAAAGTTCGACGCGACCACACAATTGCATTTACGGACATTCCCAGGGCGTCAGGCACCTGGGAAGACAACGTGTGAATAGGGACCTATTTAGTAATCCGTGATAGGGACCAGCGTGATTGAATAAATTGCTGCAAGAGCTCCTTGCGGAGTATTGCATCAGCTCATCTGCAGTATCAAGTAACAGTATGCATTCCGGTGAGGCGTATAGATTAGATATGGGAGCGACGTAACCACATGGAACCATAAGGTCAATTGAAGAGTACTGCCTTCCAGGATATGATGCCGTATAGTCTGTTGAAAGTCAGCCGAAGTTTCGTAGGAACGTCGGCTGACTTTAAACGGACTACAAAGCGTTATATCCCAGAAGATAGTATTTTCCATAACCACGGCTGTGAGAACGTCAAATCCTACAAAACCACAGCTGACTTCAGCCAGCAATATGGCACCTTCTTTTCTATAGGACACCGTGCAGTTTCGTAGGTCTTAACGGCATTGCAAAGGAACCCGGTGGCTCTGTCTTCATAGTACGAGTACATAATACTTACTTACTCATGGAACTGAGCCCTTCTGGAGGAGCCGCCAATTCTGCAGCTACTCAAGAATTTCCCAGCATTTCATGGAACCCGAAGGTTCATTACCGTGTTCACAAGAGCCCTCCACTGGTCCCTATCCTGAGCCAGATTTATCCAATCCATCCCATCCCATCCTATCTCTCTAAGGTCCATTCTAATATTGTCCACCCACCTACGCCTTGGTCTTCACTTCTGGCTTTCCCACCAATAACTGAAATATGACTTTAAAACAAGAATATATAGAATGTATTTTTATGGTTATGTTTAATCCAGTGTTAACTACTGAATTTGTCAGGGTGGTGAGTCCTTAGGAGCTACTAGCGCTAAATCCCGCTTCATATATGGAGACCAAAAAATAAAGGAGAGCTGATTTGCGAAAAGCAGTACATATACATCTTATGCCATTTGCGGCCGGTGCGTAGGGCTGACAACCTTACCGCCATCTGTGAGCTCATTGTCTAGAAGATGTGGATGCCTCAATCTCTGACACCCTATGGGCCTCCACGGCTTGTTACAGGGAGCTATATGCCATTTATCATTTACTTAACGAAGGGAGTTAATTCAATGGACAAATTAGTATTTTAAAGCCACTCCTAAAACATATAGCTTGCTATAATACACGTACGTGTATATATACGTAATAACGAAAAGTAATGTAACGTGTTTGGGCGACTGAGACGCGCATTTGGATTGGTAATTGCTTTTGATAACAACCTACAGGTCGCAGTTACCATTAATAATAAGACTGTTTCTGATTTACGAAATTTACAGTCACTCCACACCGATCTCTTCAGGCTATCTCCGCTAGTCCTCACTTATGTTTTACACCGGAAGTACAACAGTCTCCCTAAATCACACACTCCCAATTCCACTGCACTGTAGCACACGTAAAGTCTTCACATGCCGGCCTCCTGTATTCTCCTGTACCTCTGGTTTCACTCACCTCCTCCATTGTATGATTATATAAAGATACATGTTGTGTGAATAGCATACCAATATCCACACACCACAATCCGTACATCATAGGAACTTGTCTCTGGGCTTCACAACCGAGCTTACTACGTAAAAAGCTTTACAACAAGACCTACAAACAACATAAATGCCCAATTGTCTACACCAGGGGTCTCCAAACTTTTCGAACCGCGGGCCACATTAGGTAATTCAGCACTTTCAACGGGCCGGATAAAATGAGAAATTAATAACTCTAGGTATATGAGTTTTATTGAAAGCATAGAATTTCATAAACTAAATACAAAGTACGTGAGAATAAATTATCGTATATTAATGACAACAGACAGTAGCAGCAAATGCTCATATTTTCATCACAAATAATAATAAAACAATTAATGTGAATGATGGAACTCTTTTTGCATTCTTAAAATATGATTAAATTGAGGTTCAAATTTTGAAACGCTAATCACAAGTAGCGACTTTAAATGTTCATCGGATAAATTTGCCCTGTATTTCGATTTGATATACTTCATCTGGGAAAAAGTTTGTTCACACAGATATGTCGTCCCAAAAATGAAGATA